TATCATTGTTCCCATGAGGTAGATTAATCCCCTTGGGTAGATTGTCCTGGTGACTGTTACCAAGCAAGTGAAAGAAAATCCCAAATTTTGGGTCATCATCAGAACAGAAATAGATGGGAAATTTTCCAATGGTGACACTAGTTCTGGTGACCACCAGGGATTTCCCTCACTTCCTGTTCTGGCTTTTGGACAGGAAGTGATAGGATATCTCCCCTGTAGGACACAGATGGCAAGAAAAAGAAAAAAAATGCTGATAGGGATTATAACTCTTGCTTACTCTATCCAAAACTAAAGTTTTGGCTTCAGTTCCAGTCTAATTGTTATAATGTTGCTGCCTTGCTTTTGGCTTCAGTTCCAGTCTAATTGTTATAATGGTGCTGCCTTGCCTGTTAGGGAAAAAAAAAATGACATACACCCTAATTACTTGTATTCTTTTTCAGGCTGTAAGGCTATCTATACTCTGTCATGAGTGAACTGTAATTGGGATCCACTCAAAGCTGTCATATGAAAATGCACTATTAGGATCATGTGGAAGAATTCTAAAAGCTTTGTTAATTCAAGCTGGCCATGCACTGAATTGGCTTACATTTGATCTGTGGGTGGCCCTACTGATACCTGACCCAGATCAACAACACATTTTTCAATTTACTTTTGTCAAAGGAGCTGGGTGGAAAATGATCAGATGAACAGTGACAGCAACCAAATCAGCTGCAGTCACTGTTTTGGTATTCTGAGCACCGGCTTTCAGAATAAAATAGCTGGCAGGGGTGATTCCTTCATCCATGATCTTTTACTGTGGATGGGGGGAATCAAGTGATTTTCTCATTCAGCCCTGGCCCAGCTTATGTTACAGTTTTACCCTCCTCGGGCAACCTTGGCAGTGTGTCGGTTATCAGCTCTGAGATCAGGCAGGAGATGGGACAACCTTCAGTCTCATTTCTATGACGGAGAATACAAGTAAATAACAGCATACACTCATGCCTGAGAGGTAAACTTGCACCGTTATAACAACTTCAAGCCCAAGGTCCCACAACCATCCATTTGTATTAACATGAAGTCTTTTTTTGCTTGTTTGAACTGCAGACATACTCGTCTCTGAAAGGCTCTCATTAGAGGTACACCGAAACGGAAATTTCAAAACTGAAATAAAAAAATGTCAGGCCGAAACCGAGAATGTTTTTATTTTATTTTTTTCAAATGTTTTTTAATATTTTATTTTCTTCTTTT